GTGGTTTCAGTGCCATATATATAGTGAGAGTGCCTGTTTGAGTACGTCAACATATTTTTCCCGGATCTAAACGTGTCATATTTATTAAAAAATCCTTCTAAATATGTACCTATGACGTCATTACTTGTAAACGACCTCATTAATGACGTCATAGCTTTACCATATCACAAGATAATGCAAACTTTTCAACAACAACAAAAAACACATTTAATTAAATCAGTTTAATTTTAATTGTCGTTATTGATAACAACCGTAATGAATCCTCACAGTATTATAATGAACTTGGAGAAGTTGAGATGCAATTTTTTGCAACTTTACCTCACATATATACACTTCTCCTCGCCCAATACGGCGTTGTGAGGAATTACATATGCACTTCTCATCCAACACGGCGTTGTTATTATATTATGTACAACGCTAATATTCAGAATCATCACGCATACAGTGATTTATAATGTATGTTTTTGTAATTGGAATTAAACGAGGTGTATATCATGTCCTGACACGGTTGTCACCAAGCTGCATTGATGTTGTCATGACGATGCTATGGGGTGACGCCCTCACTGGTGGAGTCCACATGCCGTTATGACAACGCATGCAAAGTATTTAGACTATTGGTTGAACGATTAACACTGTCGTTTATAAAAATGGGGTGTTCCAGCGTATTAAGGGAGAAGAGGACCGGGGGCGTATGGTGACGATTGCAGTGGTAATAAATATCTGGCTGTACTATACTGCTGATGTCTTAATGATTGAATGGTGCGTATAAGTGTCGAGCGATCCTAGTGTACCACTCACTGCCTTGCGAGTTACCCATTCCCCGTTACAACCACTGCCCGGATTCTCCACCATGTAAACAGTGCGGGTTTCGTCTATCAGGGGTTGTTAAGGGTGGATGGATCACGTTGACTTGTGCTAGGCGTCGTAGTGACGTCACGATATCACGTGGTTTCACTTATAAATAGGGGGCGGAGGTTATACGGGAGGTTATACAGGAGCGGAGGTTATACGGGAGGTCTGTCTCTAGGCGTGGCTGTAAAGCCATCGCCTGGAAACCAAGTTTACACTTCACTGTATTATCACTGTATCTGATGTCTCCACGAATAAATATCTGTTACACGGTAGCCTGCAAGACATAGTTTATAATTAAAGCACTTTTATGCATTAAAGATACATGTAGGGCATACCACCAATAATTATACAAATTATGTTGTAATTTATTCTGTTATGCACAAATATTGGATATTGCAAATGCAAAAATTATTTGCTGGTTTGAAATTTTGCTATTTTCGCCAACAAGTCAAACTCGCTAAATCAAGTCTACGTGTAGATCATGTTTCCCTGCAATATTTAAGTTAAATGCCGGTGAATGACAATGGTTTTACAGTACATCGTGCAGTACAATACGAGGTGCGCATAAACATGATGTATCCGCGATCACATACCGTGCTGTATACATAAATGATTATATATAATAGCTACGACACCTACGTTACTGGTAACACTGAAGCACGAAATAGTATTCAACTTGTGGCTTGAAAAGGTTTTATTTTTTGTTTCCAGGGAAATAAGCCAGAATTTGACCCATCGTGCGTTGTGACGCTGATGTGAATTTATTTTGGACCATAACGAATGGAATCACATAATCCGATCTCTGGAGAGATAAGGGTTGATCAGTGCTGTATGTAGATTCTATATTCGGACATTACTCAGAGTGGATTAGCGAGCACACAATCCTTGAAAATACTAACGCACGTTGTTTGGGGCGTTCTTGGTGAATTATAAATTTAATTATAATAGTAATTCATCTGCCATAACACTTTTTCGAATAAATAAAGTTGACTGTTTAAAATTCTAATGAATGAAATAAAACTAGTACTGAGGAACACTCATGAAATAACAGCCACACCCAAAAGTGTTGACCATATAAGGAGCTGATTAACTATTCAAAATGGCGCGCTGGTTGGATTATGTATACGCAGTTGGAAAAAAAAAAGAAATTTTATTTCTAGGAAAAGTTTGAACGAAATAATTATTTGGCTCCACTTTTTGCCGTAGTACATTGTTCTGAAAATGTGTTCCCTCAAACACGGCAACAAACACAACAGATTTTCAATTGCTTTCAGGTGCAAAGTAGTAGATCGTTTCACAGAAATAAAACATATTTCAAAAGTATGTTTTAGTTCTACACAGATGATGTTTTATGTTGTATAAACTCGCTAGTTCAAATTGTTAAACATACAATACACCACATGACGTCTGTGACAGTTATCAGTACACACGAAGTTGCGTTCGTTGACGCAAAATAACATTGAATAGTTTCACACTGCGGTCGTCTC